TGATGAAGGGTTCTGCCACAATGTTTGTTGGAGGAACAATGGGAAGAACAACAGACAGTTGTGCTAGAGATTGATCGAGGCTTTGGCATCCATCTTCGTGTATTTGACGGGTGCCTAGACGGAAGAGGCTCTCTGTTTAGTTCACTTAACTCCAGAGATACGATTTCAGCTCAGTATCTTCTAAAGGTGCTCTGCGCCATCACATGAGTTGAAATAAACTTCATGTCACCTAACGTAAATGGCCACAGGCAATATGAGGGCACATGAACATGACGGAACCATAATCAATGCCCATGGAATTCACCAAGACAGCTCTTGCTTCTCTATCATGGTTTCTGTGGTAGCTACACCATTTCCTGTCAACTTCCAGGTATTAAGAGTGAAGGGGTGGAGTTTGGTCTATCAATCAGGTCACAGCTTGATGATCTCGTTTGGAGGCACAAGCGAGATGAATTGCTCACTGGAGGCCGTACCCACGCTCTCTCTCTGCTTCACCTTCCTGTTGACAAGCCACACGGAGCCTCGCTGATGGCAGCAAGAGCCCTGAAGATGCTTCCACTGCCACAGGATCCACATGACTTTTCACCCACTGACCTGTGATCTTGCATGCGGCATCATTGATTGTGCTGCGTTAAGTCTGAGGAAGAATTTATGGACTAATATTGGACATATGGCCTAGTATCGAACTTATGGACTTGATCTGGACTGGGCTGGGATGTTTTCTCAATATACAATTGGTCTTTGAGCTAAAGCTCTCTCTTACATACATGCATGTCTCTGGATTTGTTTCTCTAGTCTACCTGGATTAATACAGTTTCCTAGGAGAGCAGGAGGCAGCTGACTTGCGTTCACTTACCTTGGCATCCCAGGGGGTTCTTACATCTGCTAGCTGTCAGCATTCTTTCAGAATTATGATCACGACCCGTAACATTTGTCTTTTTTCACTACATGATGTAAAGTATTGGCAAAGGTATTGCTTGCCTCCTCCAAGTTCTTCACTCTCTCTCCCCTTTAAAAAAAAATTGGGTTTTTTTTTTTTTGGATAAAATCCAGGATGATAATAATCTTGGCTCAAACAGATGTCCTTCTGATCTTGATAATGTGCATTATCTCTGTCTTACTTCTGAGGCAACATGTAAGCCTAGTTGATTTCAATAGTTTTATATATGTTCCAAGTAAGAAGGCTTTGTCTAAGAAGAGGGGAGGGGGGGAAGGACCGTGGTCCATACGGGCAAAAACCAGTTGCTTCCTGCTTCAGGGAAGGCTTGGCTGCTTGCTGATCTTATTGAAAAACCCATTCTTCCCCCCTCATTGCCAAATAAACACGTATCAGTATCAACCGGGAAGGAAAAGGTTGGAAGCGCAGAGAACTGGGGTCACTGAACCCTGTTCTGTTCGTCACCCGCAAACTGGAGCCCTAACAAGTTGAACGGCTGGCATCCTGGCATAAGAGTGGCCCTGTACCTCGGGGAGCTCGAGGCCCTGGCTTGGCTGCCAGCCCGGGGCCGTGGCCATGGCAGGGCTTCCTGCTTTGTCAGGGGCCCTGCACACAGAGCTCTCTCCCCCCAAACGTTACGTATTTCAGTAGTGATGTATTTTAACATTGAAGGGGATGAATCAAAGATAGGGACTTTGATGCGAAGAGAAGCCTGAGCTTGGGTAAGTGTCCAGGATTGCCACCACTTCCACTGGCGAAGCTCCAAATGCTGTGGAGGTTTCCGTTCACCTTTCGCCGTGCCAACTTCCCCTTCTCAAC